GATGTTTTTAATAAAAAATAAATTGATTACTTTTGTTTCATGTGCATTTATGTGGTGATCCACCTTTGTAATTGCAGAACTCAAGAGTGTGAGACAGGAGGATTACTGCAAGTTCTAGGACAGCTTACACTGCTCACTGAGTCTCTGTTGCATCAAACCAAAAGAAAAAATGAATTAACAACTGAACATATGTACCTAGGAAGTAAAAAGTGCATCGTGTAGCACTGACTGCTTTGTACTTCATATGTTAAAGCAGAGTTAGTATGCATTTTTGTGGGTTGACAATAATCGATAGACTTTTTTCTCTGGTAAATATCTATCGAGCATCTGTTGTACACCAAGAAGGGGGAAAATAAGGAGCCACATGTACGCTGCTGTTGCTCCATTCCCAGCTTTAGTTGACATGCCAGTTAGCACACAACAAGCATTCAGTGATACAGATTAGAACACGGCATTGTAGAAAAATTCCTGTGGAATCACAGAGGAGGAGGAGATAACTCCAGCTAGAAAGAGCATAGGGGGTGCCTTATAGAAAAAAGAATGTCTTTGAAGCGGGGGCTTGAATTCCTAGTAGAAATTTCACAAGTGGAGAGCAAGGAACATCATTTTAGTACTGACTGAGTTTGAATAGTTCAATGTACTGAGGAACCACACAAAGCCACTGTACGTGAGTGAAATGAACTTTGCAGGAACTCAGTGAGAACAACTCCACTTAGATGCAAGCAACCACTCACTTTTGCTAAATGTTGCCATACACAGTGAGTTTAGGAGATGAAGCCGACTAAGTGGGCAAGAGGAGTTAGGTATCCAGGTTGTTTGTGCATCTCTCCACGTTGAGTAGTGGAGAGACGTCGGGAGATGTGCTGTGGCTTCTGCTTTGTGAATGTTTTGGAGAACTTTATCTCCTGGCGTGGGAAATGATCCACATCTCACTCTGAGGAGCAGTGACGTCACTGAAACATACATCCCTTCAGCATTGCTGTCTGTGTTATTTCTAATCAGATCAATTGCATGTTCAAAGGAAAAAGATCAAAAGTAGAATTGTCGATTTCAAATGACCCTGCGAGATTAAAGTTCTTAGTTCTGATTTTATAGTGTTTGCCCTGTAAGAAATACAGTTAATACACCTGTAAGGAATACACTTAAATAGCTACACTATTTAAGCACTAGTTAGCCTTTAACGAACCTTATTTTAAGGCTTTCGAGAATTTCTGTTGGCTTACCTCGTAAAACAGTTCCCAATAAGCCATTTTATCGCAGGCAGTGAAAGCGATGGGCTGTAGCAAGGAGGGTTTTCCTAAAACGATAGCATAAAAGTCTTTTAACCTTGTATTTTGTGTACAAAGGCACCTTTAAGGGTGTCTGCAGTAAGTGCTGAATTAACACAGAAGTCTACTTAATTGCAGCCCCCGTTCTCACGTCTCTTAGCCGAGTGTGAATGCCAAGGGATTTAATAGTGTGCCCCTAGCATTAATGCCTAATGAAACTGGATTCCTTGCTTCCTCTAATGACCTCATTGCTTTTCGAAATATGCCCATGGCAGGTAAATGATCAATAGCCTTGAAATTGACACCAGTACTGGATTATAGCTGAATTCCCTTAGTAGTAAGGACGGTGTGTGAGTTACACCGTGTATCGCAGGAGTAGCCAATGTATAATGTGGCAAGGCTGTTTTCCCAGTTGGTTTAGACAGTAGAAAACTGTGAAAATTCACTGTTTACTTACAGAATAATGCCTTCATATCCTTAGTGTACCCTTTAAGTGTACCGAATCTGTGAGCTGAGAGACTGAGGACATGAACACTACCAAGACCTATTTTCCTTCAGAGTCTTGTGTGTTAGTATGTACCTAACTATATCACTTTCCCGAGGCTGCCATAACAAATGACCATAAGGAAATTAATCTCTCATTGTCCTGAAGACCCAAACTTTACAATCAACATGCAGAAGAATGAAAATAGACCCATATCTATCACCATGTACAAAACTTAAGTCCAAATGGATGAAAGACCTCAACAAAAAGCCAGCCACACTGAAGCTCATAGAAGAGAAAGTGGAAAGCACACTTGAATGCATTGGCACAGGGAACCACTGCCTAAATATAACCCCACTAGCACAGACACTGAGAGAAACAATTAATAAATGGGACTTCCTGAAATTGAAAAGCTTCACTCATTGCTTCTGATGCTCCAGGTAGTCTTGCTCTGGATATTTTCAGATTATAATGGGTGTGAGTTGTCCGTGACTTGTGTGGTGTGGCTGCCGTCACTCAGTATTCCTGTGGCCTCCTTCCCTTCTGCTTGTGCCTTTCATTTGTGGACATATGATAAGGACACCATTATTCATTAGTTCAGAATCATTCTGTACAGTCCAATGTGACATCTTCTTTATAGGCCTTTAGTTCAGCTATATCTGCAATCAGGGCCATAATCATAGTTATGGTTGAATCTTTCAGAAGGCTGCCATTCATTCTACTATATCTAACATATTTTACTGTCATCGTTTTCAGTGAAACTCAATATAGCCACTGCTTAATTCATGGTGTTAGAAATTCACTAACATTCATTTCATTTGCACTAATAATTTATACTATGGATTAGTAATTTTTAATACTTTTTTAAGTTTGATTTTTAAATATTTACTTTTTTATATATATGAATACTCTATCTAAATGCATGTCTTATACCAGAAGAAGGCTTCAGATCCCATTGTAGATGGTTGTGAGCCACCACATGTTTGCTGGGAATTGAACTCAGTACCTCTGGAGGAGCAGCCAGTGCTCTTAACCCTTGAGGCATCTCTCTAGCTCCTGATTTTTAATACTTTTAACTACCTTGTCATTATTTCCCTTGTATGGGTGAAGAAATTGAAATTCAAAACAGGGAAGATTTTGCCCAAGGTTACAGCACAGCTATGAAAAGTGTCAGTTTGTACTTAAAGCTTATGTTCATAGACGCGTATATGTACATATCTTTCTTTAGAAACCGTTGTGTCAGGTTGTTCAAGACGGATTTTCTTCATTAGAACCCTTGACCTCTGTGTTCTCGAAGTCAGATCGCCGTTCATAAGATCTAGAGCATTGTAGGTACAGCCTGCCAAAGTGGTGATTTGAAGAACGAGAGTCTTGGCATGAGAATCAAGTTAGGTCCATGTTGTGTGAATTCTTTCCACCACCAGTTTGGGAGTACCTGCCTTAGGACACAGCTTCTGTCTGTGGACGTGATCTCTTATCAAAAAGAGGAGGGGTCTCGCTGGCTGTCTTGCTCTGACTTGGCTTGGCATGGTCAGAGACTCAAGTGGGGAGGGGAGTTGGCGTAGGCTAACAAAAACAAATCAGTTTTTTATACCTCTGTGAGGTCACACATAAGGACCAGTTCACCAAAGGCTGTCTTCAACACTCAAGTACCAAGTACTGGATGCCTTAGCTTTGAAATCGTATACCACAAGCAAGGCTTGGAATTACACACAACTGCGGTTCAGTTGCAGTCTGTCTCCTGTATTACTGTTGACTGAATTGTTACAGTATTTTTCCTTCCCTGTCCCTCCATGTCCTTATTGGTAAATATTTCATTAATGCTCTCTAAGAAACAAATGATGTGATAATATACTTCAACAGTAGATCCTTCAAAGAATGAACTCAATATGATTGTTAATCACTGCCAATTATAAATATTCTACACAAAAAGCAATAACGAGAGTATCAGCAGAGTTTTGTCGAGGCCCACGCAGAACACGGCAAGAGTTTCAGAGTGCTCACGTTACTGCGTCACTATGCTCATATCATTGTCATTTTTTTTTTCTTTTGGAAAATGTTTTTCTGTCCTTTCCCTTCCCACGGTTACCATTTCAACACCCCTCCCTTCATTATTTATTCTTTGGGGATGGGGTTTAAAATGTGACTTTCCACAGTAACTCTCAACATTTTCTAGGCTAGCTTCCGATTTTCAAGGTAATAGGGTATGTTATTGAGTCTGACGAAGCAATCATATTGTCTCTGCTCCATGTTCATGAGCTCTGTCAAGAATACTTGAAGCTACTGTCTGCTGAGATGCTTACCATTGTTTTGGTTAAAGTTTATGATGACTTCTAGTCCACCAATAAAGGATTAGAGTGTGAGGGCACTGGGACTCCTTTGCTCTAAGTGGACATTATCATCCGCAGGCCAATTCTAAGTAAAAGCAGTGTCTAGCTGTCAAATTATATTAGATTACTTCTCAGTTCCTTTATATTCATGTCATAGCTTAAACATTTGTAATTTGTCAGTATAACAGCCAGGAAGATGATCAGGGATTCTCAGTTCATTTATTGTTGCCTTAATCATTTATTGGTTTTCTTTGCTAATTTTAAATTTATGAACCTCATATAAAACAGCATCTTTCTTCATGAAAGTCAATGCCTGTAATGAAGATGAATTAATGTGCATTACTGATAGACTTGAGACATTAACATTACCATCTATTGTTTTATAGATTTATTTATGAGTAAATGTTAGGACATGGAAGTGAAATGGATTGTCTTTAGGTTAAAGCAGGACTCAAAGACAGAAGAATACATTTAGTTCTGGTTTTAGTTCTTTCATCCATAATTTATTTCTCCACAAGCCCCCTCTAATCAGGAAGTAAATTAATTTCTTGTCCCAGAAAGCCTTTAATTGTCTAATTGTCATTGTTTAAGGGAAATTTTTCTAACATGCATTTATTTTATATAAATAGATTTCTTTTATTTTTTAGAAAAGATTTCTTGGTTTAACAATTCTAGCTGTCCTACAACTAGCTCTTGTAGACCAGGATGTCCTTGAATTCACAGAAATCCACCTATCTCTGCCTCCTGAGTGCTGGGATTAAAGTCACGTGCCACTACCACCCAGTAATAAATAGACTCTAATCGTGCCTGTAAGCACTGTACTTGGCTAGCAAATGTGATAACTGAGCTTCCATTAGACCAAGAGGAAATGAAGTTGGCTTCATGTTGTTTTACACAATGTTTTTTTCTCACCTCCAGGTGAGCACAAAATGCCGAGGCCTCTGGTGGGAGTGTGTCACAAATGTTTTTGATGGGATTCGCACCTGTGATGAGTATGACTCAATCTATGCAGAACATTCCTGTATGTATACTATATATCTTCTTGTTTGCCAGGAAGGAATGCTGAGCTCAAATTTTTATTTGGTTTTGCTTACTGTTGTATGGTATCAATGCTCCAATTTGAAATATTGGCAATTAGTAATGGGTGTCATTTTTGAAATGTGAATTGAAATGTTTATCATATTTCACCTTTCCCCTTGAGTTTGTAAAATCCTTTATGGTGAAAATGTTGTCTGAACTATGTAACAAGGGACCTGGCACAATGCCTAAGATACAGTAGGCTTACAGTAAATATTTTAATAATTGAAACTTTTCCTTTGGGTGTTGTGAATTTTATGATTAGAATTGACAATCTAGATGAATAGCATTCATAGATATGTTTCAACTATGACTTAGCTTAAGTAGAACTTTTATTGGGTTTTCTTTTCTCAATTGAAGATTTGCTAAGATAGAGTATGAGATGCAGAGAGACAGCATCAAAGACAGACAGAGGATATGGAATTGGTACACAAGAACACCAGTACATGAGAGGATCATCACCCTCTATGTTGGAGTCACTTCTCTCATCTTACTTTCTTTTAACTCTAAATCCTACCTCAATATTTGCAAGGCCCTGTTTACATAAATAAAGCAATCTTTTAAATTAACAATCCATTGTTGATGTTCTCAATCCTTCTTCAAGGTAGTGACTTATTTACTTAGGACTTTGAACCTTGTCAAGAAATTCCAGACCCAAGACTAAAGAACAGTGCAATTAGTGTCTTTCAGAGCCAATGATGGGTGGTAGTGCCCCATGAAAAGATGAATGAAAAGTGGGTCTTGTGTATGCTATTTTATCCCAGATATTTATTTCAATGCAGGATAAAACACTTAAGCAGGACAATTTTCAAAAAAATCTTCATCAGTATTTTGGGAGTTAGGTGTCAGAAATATTTTTGCCATAATTTGTAAGGCCATTTTATTACATTTTTGTTTAGAAAAGTCTTAAGACTTTCCCATTTTCCCCCCTATATTCAGCTAGTTCTATCTACACAGACTGACAGACAGACACACAAATACACATGCATACACACACAGAAAAATAACCAACATGATTTGATAACTAGAAGCTTAGACTTTCAGCCTATTCCAGAAATGCAATGCATAGACAAAGCCAACAAGACAAACATATTTATTTATTTTCTTAATTATTTGTTTATCATCCTATTTATTTATTTTCTTCTTCTTTACTATAAGCTTATGTTGGTGGGTGGATGGGTGGGGGAATGAACATGCCACGATGCAGTTATTAAGGTAAGAGAGTTAGTTTATTCCTTCATTCTGGGTTTCAGGGTTTCAACTTGGATCTTCAGGGTAGGAAACAAACCCATTTATTAAGACTTCTGCCAAAACAGGCCCAAGGCAGCAACCCCCAAAGGACCCGGCCTGAGCTAGCGACTTTTGCTGGAGCAGGTCAGAGGCAATGACCTACACAGGAGCCTGTGTACAAGGGAGTCACTACTGATGAAGCAGGTCCAAGCCAGAGACCTCACTGTAGCAGGTTCGAGCCAGTGACCTCTGCCAAAGCAGAACCAAGGAAGTGAGTTCAGCGGCAGCAGCCCCAAGCAAGTGACCTCCATGGTAGCAAGCACAAATGAACCCTGAGATTGCAGAGCAAACTCCTGGGAGCACCGAGATACCTCTAGGAACATCAAGTGACCTCCAGGGAAACTGCAATTATGGCCCTGACTGTACCATGAGAAGCCATCATTCGAGCCTTGGATCCACCTGGAAGATTGATTACTAGACACACAGCCCAAAATACACCAATCAAAGGAAAAGATAGGTAGACAAGAAAAGAAAAGAACACATTCAACACCATAAAGAGTAATGTGACACCAATAAAAACTAGTGTCCCTACAACAGCAAGACATAAACAACCAAATATTGATGAAGCAGATGAAAATGACCTAAAAAGTAACTTTAGGAGAATGTTTGAGGCCCTTAAAGAGGAAATGAAAAATTCCCTCAAAGAAGCAGAGAAAAATACAAACAAAAAATTGGAAATCAACAAACTCCTTAAAGAAACCAAGAAAAAGCAATAAAACAGATGAAGGAAACTATTCAAGACTTGAAAACCAAAATAGAGACAATAAAGAAAACACAAGCCAAGGGAATTATAGAAATGGAAATTATGAGAAAATGATCAGGAACTGCAAATGCAAGCATAAACCACAGAATACAAGAGATGGAAGAAAGAATCTCAAGCACTAAAAATACAATAGAGGAAATAAACTCATTGGTCAAAAAAACATTAAATCTAACAAAAGCTTAACACAAAATATCCAGAAAATATGGGACACCATGAAAGAATAAACCTAAGAATAATAAAGATAGTAGAAGTCCAGCTCAAAAGCACAGAAAATATATTCAACAAAATCAGAGAAGAAAACTTTCCCAACCTAAAGAAAGATATGCATATGATGATACAAGAAGCTTACAGAACATCAAATAGACTAAATCAAAAAAGAAAGTCCCCCTGTCTTATAATAATCAAAACATTAAACATACAGAATAAAGAAGGAATATTAAGAGCTGTAAAAGAAAAGGGCCAAGTAACATATAAAGACAGACCTATCAGAATTACACCTGACTTCTTGATGGAAGCAGTGAAAGCGAGAAGGTCCTGGTCAAGTATTATGCAGACGTTAAGTGGCCATGGATACCAGTCCAGACTACTATACCCAGCAAAACTTTCAATCACCATAGAAGGACAAAACAAGATATTTCATGACAGAACCAGATTTAATTAATATCTAGCCACAAACCCAGTCCTACACAAAGTGCTAGAAGGAAAGCTCCAACCCAAGAAAGTTGGCTACATTCACAAAAACACAGACAATAGGTGATCTCACAACAGCAAATCCCCAAGAAGGGAAAAATACACACAATAACATCACCAACAACGAAAACTAAAATAACAGGAACTAACAATCATAGGTCATTAATATCCCTTAATAAAAATGGACTCAACTCACCTATAAAATGACATAGGTTAACATATTGAATAATGATGGAGTAAGTCACAAAACAAAGCAATCCCATGCATACTCAGAATTAAAAATAATAAAAGGGTCATTTATTTAATAGGAAAAACTTACAGATCACCATCCTAGACAACAGCCTCCTGCAGGATCAGGAAAGGCGTCTGATAGCCAGAAGCGGAATCCAAAGCAAGAGAGAGCGAGAGGGCTGCCACCACTTATTTTTAAAGCTAAAGACACCACACCCCAGTGGGCTGGTATCTCAAAGGCTATTGGTTGAAAGAGCAAAAGTAGCTCCCGCAGCACCTCCCCCTTTTGTTTAAATAAGACAGTTCTAAACCTACTATAAAATTATGTACAATAAGAACAAATATCCTATTCTAACTATCCTAAATCTTATATAATAAATAACTTGGCCAAGTGATGAGAGGAAAGTAGCTACATTTATCTAGTCTTCAACCCCATCGAAGATCTGAGAAGGGAAATAATGTTACCTTAGTCATTAGGAAATGCAATAAAACAACTTCCAAAATATGCAACAAATCACAGAGACAACTGGCTACCTGGGCAATCACCCAAAGTCATGTCTGCAGCGCTGACACAACCAACTTTGGCTAAGGCCTACAATAACTGACAGATTATTTTTAAAGGCAAGAAATATTTCAAAACTGTCTTACCCTGTCTTGGCAAGATTTGACAGTTCTGCTTATCCATTTTCGAATACTATGTATTTTGTCAGTAGTTGAGGTATGGGCAGTTCCTTGCCCAGAGGCCGATTTTGCCAAGAAGACAAGCTCCAAGTGGAGTGTCTGTGGTGTTCAACAATCTCCCAGTAATAGATGGATGCTGCCAGGAGCGATTGTATCTCACTATCACAGAACTCTAAATTAGCTTAAATGCCATTTTCTATAGCTCTTTGAAGAGGTTGAAGATTATTTATACAGAGTATAATCTATATATATCTAAAGAATCTGATTAGTCTAAGTATAAATATGACAGACATAGATGACTGTTGATCTACAATTTCTAATACCTATCTAACTTAAAAACTAAGAGAATAAACAACTGTGCAATAAATGAGGACAATGACCTCCAAATGTTAACAATGTATATCATTACATAAACAATATATAAGTATCTTAGTCAGAGGTAGAAATGTATCAATACACAAACAATATATAAGTATCTTCATCAGAGGTAGAAATGTACACTGCAATATGGTAGCTATAGAGCATGGGACTCTTAATCTCAGGGTTGTGGATTCGGGCCCCACGTTGGGCGCCAAACTGATGGAGTAAGTCACAAAACAAAGTAATCCCACACAAACTCAGAATTAAGATTAATAAAAGGGTTATTTATTTAAAAGGAAAAACTTACAGATCACCATCCTAGACAACAGCCTCCTGAAGGATCAGGAAAAGCATCTGATAGCCAGAAGAAAAATCCGAAGCAAGAGAGAGTGAGAGGGCTGCTGCCACTTATTTTTAAAGCAAAAGATACCACACCCCAGTGGGCTGGTATCTCAAAGGCTATTGGTTGAAGGAGCAAAAGTAGCTCCCACAGCAGAATATGAAAAAAAAAAAATCAATCCTTCTGCCAAATACAAGAAAGACACCTCAACCTCAAAGACAGACATTGCTTCAGAATAAAGAACTGAGAAAAAGTTTTCCAATTAAATGGACCTAATAAACAAACTGGTGCAGCTATCCTAATATCTAACAAAATAGACTTCAAATGAAAATCAATCAAAAGAGACAAAGAAGGACATTTCGTACAGAAAAATCCATCAAGAGGAAGTCTCAATCCTGAACATCTATGCACCAAATGCAAGGGCACCCTCATATGTAAAAGAAACACTTCTAAATCTTAAATCACACATTAAACCCCACACACAAATAGTGGGAGACTTCAACACCCCACTCTCACCACTAGACAGGTCTGTCAGACAGCAAACTAACAGAAATAAGGGAACTAACAGATGCTATGACTCAAATAGACTTAACAAACGTCTATAGAACATTCCATTCAAACATAAAAGAATATATCATCTTCTTAGCCCCTCATGGAACCTTCTCAAAAATTGACCACATACTAGGTAACAAAACAAACCTCAAAGATACAAAAAACTGAAACAACCCCATGTATCTTATCAGATCACCATAGCTTAAAACTGGAATTCAAGAGAAACACTAATTTCAGAAAGCCCACAAACAAATGGAAATTAAACAATGCTCACCTGAATCACCAATGGGTTATGAAAGAAAGGAAGAAATTAAAGACTTCCTAAAATTCAATGAAAATTACCACACAATATACCTAAATTTATGGGACACAATGAAAGCAGTGTTAAGAGGAAAGTTCATAGCACTACATAAAGAAGAAAACTCCTACACTAGTGAGTTAACAGAACACCTGAAAACTCTGGTGTAGTAGGAGACTGCTTGTTTGTTCCCAGTTGCCCAGACTCCTGAAATAAAACTCAGAAACTATATTAGTTAAATCACTGCTTGGCCAATCACTTAAGCATATTGCTAGCTATCTCTTATATCTAGAATTAATACATTTTCGTTATCTTATATTTTACCATGAGGTTTGTGGTCTACTGACAAGGTTCTAATGCATCTGTCCCTGCTAGCGACTATATGGCATCTCTCTGACCCTGCCAGAACTAAACCTCCTCCAAATGCAATTTTTCTATAGCTAACCTGAACATTTTGCTTGCACATCTATCCTCCTGGAACCAGACTGACCATGGGCTCAAGTCCTAGAGTTTCACAGAGACTCTATGTATGGAACAGAAAATGGGAGAGGGTTTAGAGAAAGAGGAAACCTGGGCCCATGTAGATGTGGAAGAAGTCAGAGTATCCCATCCTAATGCCGTTAATGGCCTTGCATGAGCCAAAGTTTTCTCATTAGTTGGAGAGCCACTTAAATATGCCACAGATCAAGAAGGTGTGTCGAAATAAAGGACAATAAAGCAACGTAGCTGATAAAACTTAGACTTCTCTTAATCTTTCTTTTAGTTTTGAGGCAGGGAAGCTGAGGTAACAGGGACTTGAGGAAGCTGGTCCCATTGCATTCATAGTTGGAATGCAGAGAAGGCTAAACACTTGTGGTCGGTTCACTTCATTCTTATGTAGCCCATGACCCAAGCCCAGGAAATGGTGCTGCACACTTTTTGGATAGATTTTTTTCCATTTCAATTAACTTCATTGATGAATCCTTTGCAGGCAGGCCTAGAGGCAAAGTCATCCCTCAGAGATGTTTCTGGAGACTTATCTCCTAGGCAGTTCCAGATCCTGTAATGGTGACAGTTGGTAGAAACCATCATAATAATAAAAGGACACATATAGGGTATATTTACTTCCTGATAATGTTGGAGGAATTTTTTTTGCTTTGATTTATTTATTTTTTTCTTGTGCAGGTGCATCATATACATCTTAAACTTTTGGACAGGGAAAATTGGCTGTATTTCCACAAAAAAATAAGCTAGAATTTTATCTCCTCAATGGGAAAAATATTTAAAGATAAGAGGGTCTAAGATTTTAATGAAAATAAAATATAATTAGTATAAAGTAAAAGAAATGAATGTATTCATCTTTCCTGTGATCCAGGAAACATAGCAGTAGTTCATACACTATTGGGGTGTAATTTCCTTTGTTTTTAGAATTTAGAATGAAACACGAGTTCTCCTGGATGCTAGCACAGTGCTCTGTCTCTGAGCCATATCCCTGTCCCTTCTTATGTAGAAGTCTGTGGAACTGCAGTTGCTTAATGGCAGTTTTGAATTTCTGGAGAAATGATGGCACTCATACTGAAGCTTATATAAACACCAGTTCTGAAATCTATGTGTGGCCTTACGTTGTGTCTAACCTTGCGTTCTGTGATGTTCTTGTGGGAGTTATGTCTCCTCTTTTCTCCGCTGTGACTCCATGCTCTCCCAGTGAAGTTGGTGGTAACCCGAGCACTGATGATTACAGCGAACATTCTTGCTGGCTTTGGATTTATCACCCTGCTCCTGGGTCTTGACTGTGTGAAGTTCCTACCTGATGAGCCACACATTAAAGTCCGCCTCTGCTTTGTTTCCGGGACCACATTACTGATTGCAGGTACTGGCTTCGTTTGTTATATTCGGAGACTGTGAGTCCCTGATCGTTCCTGAGTTGTGTTACCAGAATTTATCATTTCTCCTCATTTACGGACCTCTATCCATAACCTGCCTCCTCACAGTGGACAGCTCTTATATATACCAGTGAATTCATTTAACAAGCTTAACATTGTATAAATTTGGTCTAGAAAATTTTTCGAAGATGTCACTAGAGACTTTTGTCTTTTTTATAAAACAATAAAACAAACATTCAAGTTACTGAGGAAAATCTGTGTAGGTATTACAGAAGATATAGTCAAATTAGGTGGTCTGAGATAACTAAGCATTGCAAGCATTGTATAGAATTAGTCTGCTGTACACAGATTTTTAAAGCATGTGTTCTGTTTTGAAGTTTGAGAAGAGGTATTTTGAATTTAGTTGGTAAATGTAACAATATTGTAGAAAGTGATGGTAGTTTATACCTTTTTCTAATGGTTATGTGTTTTAATTGCTTGGATGAGCACTTAGAATTATAAACAGAAAAAATGTTTAAAATAAATATTACCAACCCTCCAGGAGGGAAGATATGTTTTTTCCACAGGGTAAATATTTTTCAAAACACCCTTTCCGCATATTGCTTTTCTCTCACTTGTCACCTTTGTCTTTTAGACCTGACTTTTGATACACAATTTGTACCTAAGATAGTGAAACCCCTGTCCTAGCACATAAAGTCAGTCTCTTGTTAGAGGGGATAATCTGTGGGCTTTAGACAAAATGGAAAAAGAATGTAATTTCTTGGCCCATTTTGACATAAAGTGGAATATGGCACATCTATTACTAGAAAGGAAAGTCATGTTTTTGGTTTTTTTTTTTTGACATAGGATTTGTTTGTTTCCTCCCTGTCCTTAGCACACTGAATTGAACAGTACTGGATACAGTTTACATGTGGGTATTAGCTGCACATCTTGGATAGCCCAGTTTACATGTGCATGTTGATTATATCTGGGATACGTCAGCTTACATGTGGATGCTGACTGTATCTGGGATAGTCCAGCTTACATGTGGATGCTGACTGTGTATCTTAGATAGTCCAGTTTACATGTGAGTGTTAACTCTGTATCTGGGATAGCATGAGTCCTAGTTAGGATTGCTATTGTTATGCTGAAACACCATGACCAAAAGCAAATAGGGGAGAAAAGCATTTATTTGGCTTAACTTTCATATCATAGTCCATTACTGAAGGAATTCATATCAGGGACTCAAACAAGACAGAAACCTGGACACAGGAGATGATGCAGAGGCCATGGAGGGATGTTTCTTACTGGCTTGTTCTTGGCTTTCTTTCCAGCTTTCTTTTTTTATAGAACTCAGAAACACCAGCCCATGGAGGGCACCAGCCACAATGGGCTGGTCTCTCCCCCATCAATCACTAATTAAGAAAATACCTCACTGCCAGATATGATGGAGGAGTTTCCTCACGTTCTCAATTTCAGAAGAACCTAGCTTTATAAGGTTGACATAAAACTATGCAGCACAGCAAGGTGCTGTGATTGACAGCACAGATGATGTGAGTCTTGACTGTGTATCTGGGACAGCACAGCTCACATGAGTGTTGTCTGTGCATCTGTGACTGCACAGTTTACATGTGTGTGTTAACTGTGTGCCTGAGACAGCATGATTACAGGTGTATGTTGGCTGTGTATCTGAGACATCATAGTTTGTATGCAAGTGTTGATTATGTATCCGGAAGAGCTTCAGACAAGGGTTTTAGAAACACAGAATTTTTTTAACGGCATATACTTCCCATTGAAAATTAACATAGAAGGCCTAGGGTATGGTGGTGCACACCTTTAATCCTAGCTCTCAGAGGCAGGTGGATCTCTATGAGTCTGAGGCCAGTCTAATCTACATAGTGAATTCCAGGACAGTGGGGGCTGTGTAGAGAAATTCTGTCTCAAAAGAAAAAAATTAGCATAGAATGAAAACATGTTTTATGCTCTTTGTGTTTCTGTGTTTCCTGTTTTCAAATTTTGTTTTAAATATTTTCTTTTATGAAATAATCCTGAGCCACATAAGGCATTTTTTTTCAGGGACAAGTCATATATATGATGGAAGTCTCATAAAAATATACTGGAACTAATAATTTATTTTGCCTAGCAGTGCAGTAGCTGTCATATCATCTCAGCATAAGGCATTATTCATTCAGTTGTGGCAGTGTTGGCACTGATGAACATACACGACTATCACACATGGTATTTGGTGATAATGTACAGTATGTTACCAGACAGTATATCTAATTGATTTTTACCATTTTTTAGAGTGCACTCCTTCCATTTTAAAAATAAAAAAAGCACGCTTTCTGTAAAGCATTGCACCCTGTGACAGCAGACCCCTCCCACTCACGGATGCCGCATCTGTTCCCTTCACTGTTCTCTCTTGATATGGACCTCAGTTTCAAATTGTTTTGTTCACTGTAGCTTCGGAAGCAATGAGCTGTGATATTTTGGTATGAGTGCAAGTGTTTGTGGGCACATGCACCCGCCATGTAGCTCAGGTGTACAGCATGCCACCACACAAATTTCTCTGCTAAGTGATACATGACTGTAGAAAAATAACTTTGGAAAAATGGGAAACTTCTAAAAAAAAAAGTTGTGACAAGCATTTAGAGTTTCACAAACAGATGAGGATTGTGCTCTTTTATTTCAGCATTCTGTTCTGTGAGAAGAAATGATGAAGGGCAATGATCGAAGCTGTCCACACTCCCATTGTCCATGAAGCACGTATTCGTGCTAACACTTTAGATGACACCATGCATTTTGAACAATAAGCAGGTCCTTGTGACTTAAATTCGGAGAATGCTCTGTATTATTCCTGACCCACCTCATTTCTTTCAGGTGCCCCCGGAATTGTTGGTTCTGTGTGGTATGCTGTGGATGTCTATGTCGAACGTTCCTCTCTAATTATACACAATATATTTCTTGGGATCCAGTATAAATTTGGCTGGTCCTGCTGGCTTGGCATGGCTGGGTCTTTGGGTTGCTTTTTGGCTGGAGGTCTCCTCACCTGCTGTTTGTATCTCTTTAAAGGTAAGGGCAAAGCAGAGTAAGAGCTCCTCCATTGTGGTCATCTTTCCCAATCCGAAGAAAACACCTCTCATCAGACCAAATGGCTCTGATACCCTTCACAGTTTCAACTGTTCAAAGACAATTCAATTGTCGTATTCAAGGTTTATTTCCCAGGAGTAGATGCTAGTGACCAAGGAAACCCAGAGCTGCAACTCTATCCAGTATTTAAACATGCTCTAGTAGTCTATGTACCGTGGTCATTGTTACATATCTAGCTTCTCTAAATCAACGAGGTTAATGTTTATGGTTAAATGGAGAGCTTGACTAAGCGTCAATCAATATTTTTTGTAGGAATCTAATGTATGATTTTAGTTTTCTAAAGAAAATAACCTAAAATGCCAAGATGTCTTCATCATAAAACAACAACAAAAAATATTCAGCCACATTTTCAATCTAAAGTTAAGCTTCAGTTTGAAATACTGAGAACTTGATTCTTGGATGATTTCAACTGAGACTCGTGTGTGTGTGTGTGTGTGTGTGTGTGTGTGTGAGAGAGAGAGAGAGAGAGAGAGAGAGAGAGAAAGAGAGAATATGCATGTGTATAACTGTATGCATATGTATATGAGTCTTTGTGTGTTTGAGTGTGTATGTATGTGTGTGCATGCATATGAGTGTGGAGTGTGTACGTATCTTTGTCTGTGTGGTGTGTGCACAATGCATGTGTTTATCTGTGCAGGTGTGTTCTAGTCTGTTTTGGAGAAAAATATAAAAAAAGACCAGATATTTTTATTTTTGAAAGTTAAATGGATCATATTTATTTCATTTCTCTGCATTTATCTCTTTTAAACAGATGTTGAACCTGAGAGGAGCTATTCTTATGCCATGAGGAGGCGCTATTCCACGGCAGGTACTTCCATGGTGAGGTCCTACATGGCCCCTCGGACAGAGACAGCCAAAATGTATGCTGTAGACACCAGGGTGTAAAATCGGCCAAATGTCAATCTGTGTTTCTACGTTGTTTAATTAATCGATCAATGTATTTAAATTAAGAAAAACAAATGATCAATTTTGGAGCATTTATTTACATCTCAAATTCAATGTATTATTTGTTGGTTCAATCAAAATATTTCTAATTTTGCTGTCACATCTTTTATAAATCTTGTGACTGTTCCCCCACAGTCTCTGTGTATTTTGAGTTAAGGCTGATAGAATGTAGAAATACGTTTCAGGTGTCTTTACTGCCTTTGGAGATTATGGCAGGGTGATATTAAAGTGAAATGATGCTTCAGAAACACAAAGCAATTGAAAACAGGTCCAAAGTTCTAATTTTGAAAGGATCGAGGAGCTCTTAGCTCTCCCCGACTCAAAGCACAATTTTTATATTCTCAGGAAACTTGTCAGTAACTTGAAACAAGGCTATTGCTCTAAATTTAAACTTGTATATCAGAATCTACCATATTCAAATATTATTCAAATGGAAACAGAAAAATACCAGCCTCATGTCCCAGACTCCAGTGGGAGCTGCAGATGGGAACTTCCCTCTCACATTCGAAATGTCAATGGCAAAGGCTGAATTAATGTTGGAGTCAAGGGGAATGTCTTCCCAAGAACGCAAGAGATCAAAGGATAATTTTCACATCACCCCAAATCTGCCTATGCATGGTCAAATTATGTTTTGCTGTATAATGACTTGACCAGGGAGTTCCTCCAAAATGGATTGAACACTCGAAATGTACAACATTAGAATTCACCAGCTAAGAACTCACTCATCAGCCGACTCAGAGTGGAGCAAATACAAATGGATTCTATTATTCTAGAGTTGAACCTCAAATCTACAGAAGAAATGTGTGAGGTTTGTTTTTAGGAAGACAAAAAAAAAAGGATAACATAAGCACTTAAAGGAGCCAGTGCAGACTCTTAATGAGATACATGCGTGTTTCCAACATATTCACTCTTTTAAATCATAAAGTCCTTTAAAAAGCTAGAAAATTTAATATCAGATTTTTGGGTTTTTTTTCCAATTCAAACAGACAACATAAATACTCTTATACTACCCTATAAAAAAGCACCAAACAAACTAAAATTTATTTCTTTGGGAAAAGAGAAAGGAAGTTATTAATTTCTGGATTCCCCCAAACAAGTGCTTCTAACTTAGAAAATTAAGAGTAATATGAAAATGAAATGTCAGAACACTACTGTGACAAATTTATGGGGATATCACAAAATGTCTTCTTAATTCTGGCTTCTGGAACAATTATAATTTAATCTTACCTCTAAGAACAGTTGGATTCACCTATCTTGTTCACGGATTTCTTTATTGGTGTGGTGGACACATAAAATCCTATAGATCATACCTAGTCATCACGTGGATATTATTCTATGCATTTCAAAACCTTTTATACATTTTTCTCTGCTTGTTTTAATTTTGAGTGTTAGTTGGGAGTGTTTGAGTACATGCCTGTGTGTACACGTGTACAGGTGTGTTCAGAGGCCAGAGGAAGATGTCGGTTGTAAAAGTGTCCTGTCTCAAAAATCAAAAAAAAAGTGTTAATTCTTTCCTTGACACAATCAAACGGGAAGAGAGTCCCACAGAGAGACAGTGTAGGTCAGGTTCACCTATGGGTGTGTCTGTTGAGGGTTCTGACCCTTCCCTCCAGCCATTACCCTCTTGGTTCCTGGGGTAACGACTATCCTGTTTCAAATGCAGTAGATTAGTTTTATCAGTTTTTAAATAATTGTCTGTTTATCACTCCTATCCAATTTCTTTCCTTCAGTATCATAGTGAAGTTTATGATACATCTGCCTGGTTGCATGTCGCTATGTAGCTTATGTAGTTAAGGCTGTTAATTTTGTTACTGTAACATTACTGGATGAACATTCTCGTGAACTCCATTTTAGCAGTGATAGACATTTGATTTGTTTCCAATATTTTCCTATTATAAATGAGGTTGCCATGAGTACTCCTGAATGTGGTTTGTCAATCATCTGCATCATGTTTCTTGTAAACCTGACAATTAGGTTGCTCTAACAGAGGTATATGTATGCTCATTGTGGTGGATGACATAGTCTTCTAAAGTGTGGTACCAACTTCAGCCTCACAGTTGTGTGGGAATTCCAGGTGCTACACATCTGTATGAACACTGGTGTTCTCTGTTCCTATAGCCAATCTAGTGTTACAATGAACAGTAACATACACTGGCATTGAAAAGCAAAAATTAAAATTACATTTAATTTTATTCTCCCTAGTGGATAGTAGACTATTGTATGCTTTGTAAGTTTTTTAATATTCATTCAGTTATAAGTTTTCCTACTGTATTTCTTGTTTCCTGTTTTTTTCTTATTGATTATTAGGTATTTATCATTTTTTTTACACTAGGCCATATTCAGAAATATAAAACACAAATGAAATGCAGCATTTTCTTTAACTCTATGAATGGTGTTTTTGACTGAAATTATTTATAACACATTGCAGTTCTTTATATTTCCTTGGCAGCTATTATTTTTTTGTATTTGATAAATATTTAGACATTTTGGGGACCTACTCCTCCACTTTTTTATGTTTTATATATCTGAATAATCATTTACATTTAATTTTATTCAAACTGTAACAGTATGCAAAAATCTGTAAGTCTCAAGTTCATTAAATGATAATTTTAATACACCCAACATACTATATAATTAGGTTTGAGATTAAGAAACAATAATAGCATAAAACTCATGACTTATATAAATTCTGAAAATTACTCTGTAACATGGTTAACAACTGACTCAAATTTGAAAATCATGTTAGGTAGTTGAGAGAAGATAATACATACAATTTTATTGTGTTATAGAACTGCACAGTTTTCTTCTTATATTCTGTCTTTAATTGTAGAATCATGAGTTTTAAATTTTTAAATAATCTGAATGCAATGTAATGATAATATAGTGCAATTAAATGTATTATTTAAAAAGCTGAATGCAAGAACAAAATACAAATGTATCTACATAGTTATGTTATTTATTGATATTAATATGAAATAATATGAAAGATAGTTTCTTCAGTGTCCAAGGTTAATTTTTCTTAACATCGGTTGCATTAGAGAAATGCTTCCTACATGTTAGGGTTGGCATTTTATTCTGTTTAAAAGCACAAGCAGTTTTTTGATTTTTTTAAATATCATCATCATCATATTATTATTATTATTATCAATGGAAAAGGAGGCATGCCGTAGCACATGTATGAAAGTCAGAGGTCAATGTCATGGAGTCAGTTTTTTACTTTCATTTTTATATGGGTTCTTAGGATCAAATTCATGTTGTCATGCTTGTGTGGTAAGTGCTTTACCCACCAAGTCACCTAGCCATTCCTGTATTTTTTAATACAGTAGAAATATTCACCATTTATTCCTTTTAGCACTAAAATTTATTTTATGCTTGATTTCAGGGTGAGTGTATTTTAATAAACTTATTTAAAGAATAAAATGAGTGGTTCTATTGTCTTTTAGATATTTATGGCCCCTATAAACTTATATATTTGAATGTTTAATCATCAGGGAGTAGCACTACTTTAGAAGGATTAGGAGGTGTGGTCTTGTTGGAGGTAGGTTTTGAGGTTTCAAACGTGCATACTAGGCCTAGTGTTGCTTGTTCTCTTGGCCTGTGGATCAGAATATAGTTCTCAGCTACTGTTCAAGGGCCATGAGTGCCACCATGCTCCCATTATGTTTCCAGCAATTTGAAAATGGGCTAACTGAAATGTAAGCAAGCTCCAAATAAATCTTTTCTTGTTATGAGACTTGCCTCTGTCATGATCTGTCTCTCTTTGCAGCAATAAAATGGTGACAAAGACAGGTTCCAAAGGAGAGAGTGTAATTTTTTTTAAAAAAAAACACATAAACTTTCAGCTTAAAAATAGAAAAATAAGAAAACATAAATATATAAAAAAGAAGGTACAGTTACTCTAAAATTTTTTCTAATAGAAAAATGTCAAAGGTGGGAAGATATTCTACAGTTACTAAGTTTATGAAGTAGACTACATCATAATATCTATGATAATTATATAGAGCATCTTCATTTCACTCTTACTTTGGAAAAGATGTGATCACAGAAAAAGGGACAAGCACCACAGGGAGTCTTAACATTCTCTTCATAAATAAATAAACAAATAAATAAATTTTCACAAACACTTATGAATAATGATAGTCAGAAGCTCAACTTTTTCTGCCAAACATAAGAGAAAAAAATTAAAGTTGGAAAAATTTGTCTTAATAATTTAGAATTGTAAAACAATATCAATACAGTAATAGACAGAAGTTTGGTATCATTTTATTTAATGCACTGATTTTATAAAGGTACTATTACATATTTTTGCACTAGGATAAAATAATATACAGAATTTTAAAACCAGTAGTAGCATATACAATATTGCTATATAAAAAAATGCATCATAAAAAATAAATTAAAAAGTTACATCATTCTATAGGCTTGAAGGCAGATATATTGTGATCAATGTGTACAAAGCAGTATCTCTCATTCCTTCCAAAATAGGAAAATTGAGGTTAGGATATTTATGTTAAAAACTTCAATATCTCTACTGGAATACAGTCTAGAATAAGTGCCTGCATCATCCATGTACCAATGTCTTCTTAAGTCAGGCTTTACCATCAAGGATGAATCAATGATTTCTTAATGAAACTCCTCACCACATCATATCCTTTCCTTTATTTTTTAATCTTCTTCCAAATCAATTCCTTTATCTTTTTTTATTTTGTTTCTTTATCTTAATATTCTTTATAGTCTTTAGAAAATCATCCTAGTCTTCCAGGAGGAGATTTTGCTGCTACAAGAATGTTACAGTGAATGTAAGTTTTAATACATTCTCTCTCTTTATAGCAGGAAATATGGGTTCACACACTATTACATTTTTTTATATTTTCCACTTGAGTATGTCTTTCTGAAGATGGAAACATTCATATGTTGTCTTATTCAGTGTTCTTTTCTGTGAAGATACGTGATGACCATGCCAATTCTTACAAAAGAAAGCATTTAACTTTCTTTAGTTCAGAGGTTTGGTACATTATCCTCATGGCAGAATGCAGGGCAACACACAGGAAGACATGTTAGCTGAGAGTTCTATATCTGGATGTGAAGGCAGCAGGTAGGGAGAGTGAGATACTGGACCTGGCTTGGGTTTCTAAAACCTCAAATCCCACCCCAGAGACACACCTTTTCCAACACAGCCACAACTACTCCAGCAAGACGACTCGCCCCAATCCTTCCAAATAACGTCACTCCCTATGACTGTGGACCATTTCCTTTCCTAACCCTTCTTTCTTTCTTTCTTTCTTTCTTTCTTTCTTTCTTTCTTTCTTTCTGGTGAGAAAAGGAGGAAGGCATGGGGAGAGGGAGAGAAAGCGTGAAGAGCAAGCATGAAGTTGGGTGAGAAGAGGATGGGGAGAATGTGGGAGGGACTTGGAGAAGAAAAACTGCTGGGAGATAATGCTCTTGTACACTATAAGGATTTGTCACTTATGTTAGCTTAATAAAATGTTGATTGGCCAATAGCCAGTCAGGGAGTATAGGTGGGACAACCAGAGTAGGAGAATTCTGGGAAGAGAAAAGGCAGAGATGCAGTCATCATCAGAGAAAGCAGAGGAGGCAAGATGAGAATGCCTTACTGAGAAAAGGTACAAATCCACATGGCTAAACATATCCAAGAATTATGGGTTAATTTAAGTTGTAAGAGCAAGTTAATAATAAGCCTGAGCTAATACGCCAAACAGTTTATAATTAATATAAACCTCGGTGTGTTTTTTGGGACTGAATACCTGGAGGGATAGAAACTTCCATCAACAGGAAACATGACCAAAATATATTGTATAAAAATTAATACTAAAAATGATGTGGAAGCTAAAAATATACACTATCATTGGGGAATAAAAATAAAAGAGCTAAGATCCAAATATAGACTTGCCACATGGAGACAATAGTTTACTATTTGCTGCTCTGAGGTGATTCTTTTAATCTTCACAATAAAATAAAATTATAATAAAATTACAACAAATGCATATCTTATATATTTACACATCTACCATTAATAACCTGTCATCTATCAATCTATCTATCAATATCTCTAATCTATGTGTAACACGAGGGGGCCTGCTTATTTGTGTTTATGTCCTGCCCAGTTCCCTAAGCCAGCTTGTTGGGGTTTTCTGTCCTGCCCGGCCTCCCAGCTGTTTAGTCCCAGAGAAAAAAAATCACACATAGATCTCCGTAAGTTATAAAGCTCATTGGCCCATTAGGTCAGGCTTCTTACTGGCTAACTCTCACATCTTGATTAACCCATTTTTCTGATCTATGTTAGCCATATGGCTCAGTACCTTTTTCAGTGGGGCAGCTCACATCCTGCTGCTTAGGTGGTCTGGGCAGAAGTGGGGGAATCAACTTCCTCCTCCCCAGAATTCTCCTGCTCTCCTTGCATCATTTCCACTTCCTGTCTAGCTTTTCTGCCTACACCTCCTGCCTGGCCAATCAGCGTTTATTTAAAACATGATTGGCAGAATACAGACAATTCTCCCACACCATCTATGTATCTATCTTTGTCTATCAATAATCTAACTGAACTATCTACCTACCTATGTATCGTCCATCTGTCATCTAGTATAAACAAAGTGAAAGTCTTAGACATTTAGACTTGCTGTCATGTCAGCACACAGTATCCAGATTTACCTTGATCTGCAACCATGAATTATTAACCTAGTGTATTTGAAGATGACTATTCCTTCCTTTTAGCAGATTAACAAAGTATTACTTTCAACTGTGTACTCTCCTTAGAGCAACAAAAACTGCCATTCTAGAGATATCTAGTTTTGATGCTAGAGAGTTTGGCACACTATTCCTAACCCAGTTCACATCATATTGCATTAGTATATTTTGTTATCCATTACTGATGACAATCACCATACAGCATGCAGTTGTCCATTAATTGTTACTAATGAATTCCTGGACTTTCTCAGATTTCACCTCTTAAGATCTTTCAAGGGAGCACATTAACAAGAGACCTGAATGTAGGAAGCAATCAGTCAGTGTTCATTAAGACTTTCAATCTTATAAATTTATCTGGATATGCATGCTCCTTTTACTACCCAGTGAAGGAAGAAACCAAATTATCAGTAGGTAAATAAATATTAATTATAAGAGAGATAAAATTCTATACATTTGCTCTTTTATTTTTATTAAAAATTTCCACCTCCTCCCACTTCCCTTCCCTCTCCTCCCCCCACTCCTCCTCCCACTAATTCTCCAGGCCCAAGAGTAGTCAGGGTTCCCTACCCTATGGGAAGTCCAAGGTCCTCCCCGTTCCCCCCCAGGTCCAGGAAGGTGAGCATCTTTACAAATGGTGCTGGCATAACTGAATGTCAACCTGTAGAAGAATGAAAGTAAATCTATTTCTATCACCACGCACAAAACTCAAGTACAAATGGATTAAAGACCTCAATATTAATCTGACCACACTGAATCTGATAGAAGAGAAAGTGGGAAGTAGTCTACAACACCTGGGCACAGGAGACCTCTTCCTACATACATTTGCTTTTTATAGCCCCTAAATAGATTTTTCAGAGTAAGACGTTCCTAACAAATAGTAAAATACAATCAAGGAACCTGTAGGCATTCATGAACTCAATAATTCTGAAAGGTGTGACTCTTTATCTTGATATTCCAAAAGCTGACACCTTCACTGATGGGTCATGATTCTGTTAAAAGTCATCACGGCCACGGAAGTAATGGAGGGAATGGAGGGAGGTGGCAAGAGCTATGTTCCAAATACACAAATATACAATACTATGGGTTTATCACAAAACTAGCCCATTTTGTAAAGGAACACTATTTGTATTACATTTTTCTTAGAATTGCAGTTAGTGAATTGTCATTAAAAATGATACTCTTTTACCAGAATGTAACATTGAAAATTTAAAAAATGCTGTATGTGGAGTTATTTTGTATACAATCACAGAGCAAAATTAATTTCGAAGTGAAAGTTTCTTTTGTAACGTATATTCTATTTCCTTTCTTTGTTCTTATCTAAAAAATGAAATCTCTACCAAGAATAGGGTTTTGTAGCAACACACTTTTCATTGTTTCCTTTGCTCTTATGCAATTCCAAAGGATTCCACATTTTGCTTTAATGTGATATTCAAGGTGAGTTTCATTTCACAGTCTACACAGATGCTATCCAGACTGAACAGGCCTCTATTTCATTTCTGTGAAAAGTATTGAATTTTAAAGTTTGCCTTTGACAAAAAAAAAAGTTGTGCTTCTAACACAATGAAATAAGCATGAAGCTACAAAACAAAAAATATGGAGGACATGTGGTCGAGTAAAGGAGGAATGGGAAGACCCATAATGTCATGCTGTGCTTACTGGGCATCACATGGGCAGCATACACTGTGGTGAGTCAGGCAGGGCTGGAAGTTCGAAGCCTGGCCTCTGAAGATGATGATTTTTGAATGTTCTACCTTCTTGATTGACAGTCACTTTCAGATTGATATTATTCAATGTATCAAATACCTCTTACCAAATTTGAGTCTCATTATCATTCCATTCTTTGCAAATTCTAACCTCATTGTTGCTTTGTTTTGCTCAGATTTGTTAAAAGTTTATATGAAGAGTAGCCTAACTTCAGGATTCACTTCCCATTAAATTAAGTCCAGCTAATCAGCTGGATATGTAGGTAGGGTTTTGCCCTCTGGTGGATGCTTAGGGAAAGAGCTATAGCAGAGAGAAAACTAAACGTCACTAAGTGGGAAGAAAAGTTAAAAACATAATTCCATTCAAGTTAAAATCCAAGACAAGCAGTTAAAATAGAAATTTTAATGGGACATCAAGCAATCAAAATGTAGGGGCAGATTACGAAGACAACAGGAAAGCAATGGGGTTTCACTTTTGAAGGTCTATTTTAAGGGTAAGATAACCATGGGATCTAAGTCAGTATTATCATTTTAATAAACATGACTTTCCCATGGATCACAGAGGATATTTATTGTTGATCTTCTAAGTCTCTATCTGACAGTTAGAATAATTTCAACTTCCCATGCCTTATTCAAAGGCAGTTCCTTGAAATCCTATTATTATGATTAAACACAAGAAGTAACATTTGCTGCAGGCATATTCCAAGAAACACTGATGCTTAACACATGGAAGACATCGGGTATCTTTTAAACATCATATAAAAACAACCTTTGATATTCAGATATCTTTATTTTTAAAATAATCTTCTAGGAAAATAAACATTATTTTTCTGCCACTTCAATCCACCTGCATATTCCTTAGGCTCACACTCCTCTCCTAACTATGTCTAATCAACAGTATTCCATCCAGCTAACTATATACCCACTATATGTATTGATTTGGTTTGAATTGACACACTTGTGCAAGTAGCTTTGGAACAGGTACTTCATAGTTCATAGCTTCAACACCGGTGTTTGCTGGTAGACTGAATCCAGTTGCTGAATCATCACCACCACCCCCATCACTAGCTTCTCCCACCATTTTCTAGGTATGAATTATAACCACAACCTGGCATCCATGTGGAGTGTGATTTGAGATCCTTATTTCATAGCATATAAAGAAGAATCTTTTCCTAAATTTATTTACTTAAGATAAATTTAATCGCTATCCACATTCCCTGGCTTAATGTGAATAATCCGTTGGTACATTATTTGTAGTTGTTACATCCATTGTACACATTCCAGAAGTACAGAGGATTTGAGCCCATATATAATAGACAGTAATCAAATAAGAGTATGTGGTATACCCATCTCTCCAGACACTTGAGAAAGAACTCTGAGCTTTTCTTGTCTTCTTTTTCTCTTTTCTTCCTTCGCCCCTTTCCATTTTCAGGCAGAGGCTAAGTATGTAGTGCAGACTGGCCTCAGACTCACACTTGGTAGTCCGTCTCAATTCCCCAGTGTCCAATTTACAGCCGTACAGGATCATATCTGCTTTCGATTTTCAACTAAGCAAGTAATTACCCAGATAATCAAGCTCTTCCACAGTCCTGGAGTGTGTGTAAAAGATGAAACTACCTGTATTCCCGTCTCCTACGCTCACTTAACAGTCTGTGTTTCCTTGCATCCTGACTTCCTCTGTGGGCTTGCAATTCAGAGTCATTACTGCCAAGGCATCCAGCTGCTTAATTGTACGTCTAAGTAAAACAGCACATACATTAAGTCAAATAACACTATAGACTGGAGATGAAAACAAATCGGTGCTTCCCGGTCTGCGTTATCCCCCACACAATTACTTTGCTGTCCAGCCTCTAGAGACAACGCTCTGCTCTTCAGTTCTTGATGTCTGATGTCAGATGCCTGAGACGTTACAGACGATGTACTTGGACACTTTCCTTCCGCATTCATTTTCTTTCTGGCTTCTGAGAACAGGCTTAGGCCTGATGTCACAGCCTGCTACTTTACTTCACACGTCGTCTTCCGCCTTCACTTGGCAACTTACAATACACTTTAAAAGACTAACAATTCTAGTTTATGTAAACAGTATCAGCTACAGTATCTATAGTTGATCATTTTAAAACAGTGTCGTATATATCACTCATAGCTTAATCATCTTTTAGTGAATTCAACCTCTGCTTTTTGTGGTTTCAATAACTGCTCCTATACTTTGCTTATTTCCATATTTCAGTCACAGTTTTGCATCCTATTTCTCTCTGGAGCACGCCTCTAAGAACCTGTTGCATGCCACTCCCATCCATGTTCTCACTGGAGTGACTCTGCTCAGGATGGCCGCAATGCTGCATCCCTTAATTAACTAATTAATATTCCCTGTCAAGTGTGGATGAGCTCCACACTCCTACCTTGGTGCTTCTGCGTAGTTTCAGCTTGGAGTTAGTTGCTCACCTATTCTCCATTTCTTCTGTGAAGACACTGCGCAAGCAGAGCAAAGTGGACACTTCAGTCAGCTCTGAGGAGAGCTCTGGGCTCCTCTCTTCTCTTTTACGATACCACTGTCCTGTAGCCAAAAGTCCTCTGTTCTCTTTTTCCTATTGCTATTTTTCTTCTGAATTAAATACTTAAGTACATTTTTTACACCTTTATCGAAGACATAATATCTTTCTGAGATGAGGGCTTGTTCACTCTATCACATTCAGCTTGAAGTTAGGAATAGTCAGGTCATCAGATAAGGAGGGACATAAAGTTTGATGGTATAAACACAGACAGTTCATACAGCATGAAGTCCTTCTGAGCATCCGCAGACCACAGCACACTGATGCATTTCTCTAGACTTCCTTTGTCAGTGGATGCAGCCTAAGTGGATGAGTGAGCCCTCATCTCTGCCCATGCTCATACCCATGAGGCCTCACACCCATTGGATGCCCACGTGGCTGTGTATGAGACTTCCTAGAATCTAGGAACAGGAATTATAAATGTTATTTAAAATACACACTAAGTTCCCAATAAAGTGTTTCAGACACATGGTACAAATCAGTGAATGATGCTTCTCCCCTGGAAGAATTGCCATTCTAGCCAGAGAAGACACATTTGTCCCCTGAATGCAGTCTAATTTCAATGTTAGTGAAAATTAGCACATATCTGGAATTAGGAGATGGGCTTTGCCAAAGGAGGGAGTGGCTGTAATTTAAATTAAAGTAGGGTATTTTAAATGTGCCCTACTGAAAAGGGTGGCATGCTAAAAAAATGAGGGGGGTTGCGGCAGTTTTATTATATGGGGAAGGGGGAGGCAAGTAAAATACGCAGCGGAGTTAGAGCCTAACGACACAAAGCCTAAATGAACACGTGGTAGCATTCCGAGCATCCTAAGGAAGGAAGACAAGATGACATCAGCTTGCATGGAGCTATATGCCAAGTTGCGGTATCAGGAGAGTATCAGATTGCTAACATCGTAAAAGACCGTTCTCCATATCAAGGCAGGATGTGAAGTCCGTGAATGCATGATTGAACAATACCACTTCAGACAGTAGCACGCTATTCAGCACTGAAAAAAAATGCGCTATCAAGCCGTGAAAGACACAGAAAAAATTTATACACACCTTAAACACTCCAAGAAGCCGAGAGGGGGGTACTACATCTGTATGATTTCAAGTAAGTGCTCCACTGGAAAAGGCAAAACAGGGGAGACAATGAAAAGATCACTGTAGGCCAGGAGTTGGAATGGAGGTAGGGACTTGGGTTAGTAGAGCGTGGGGATTCTCAGGACAACGAAACTGTAAGATATTGTGGTGATGGTGCTGAAAATCATAATCAAACCATCACACCCCCAGAATGTACAGCGCAACATTGTGTGATGATGTGCGCCAGTGCGGCTTCATCAGGAGAAGGATGTAATCCTACGAGACCCTGCCTACGTGTGGGTACAGGAAATATGGGAAATGTCTTTGCTATCATGTTTAAAACGGTGGGAAGGTGTCATGCTGTCATGCTATACAACAGAGATCACATGGGAGATTACTGGAATAGGAGATTGAGGTCAGAAAAGGGGACAGAGAAGTGGGCAGAGAGCGGGTAGAAGAGAAAGAGAGGCAGGTGGAGAGGCAGGAGGTGGGCAAGGCCTACCCTTTTAAAAGGGAAGGTAGAGAATGTGCACAGGAGATGCTCTTAGTGCCTGAAGCTGAGGACATATCCTGTCAGGACCCCAAGAACAGGCCAGTACAGATGCCTGAATACTAACACTACTGTCAGGACCCCACGGGCGGACCAGTACAGACGCCTGAATACTAACTCTCTCCACTTCCTCCTCAGTATTTAAGCAAATCTGAAACTAGGAAATAATTTCCTGGCTTCTGTGTTGTCAATAGGATGGATACTCGAGAACGAAGATGGGGGCGCCTGGATCAGTTTCCATCTATTGTAGGACTCCAGCAGGGACCAACAGTGGTGGTTCATACCAGAGAGAGGTGCTAAGTGGGAAACTTTTAGAGTCTGGAAATTGTGAATCGAGGATCAACAAGATTTTCAGACAAAATCGTTAAACGAAGTAATACAAGCAGAAGGTACAAGCCCTTGACTGAGCTATAGGAAAGTTAGAAACTCTTTCCCAAAGCAGTTTTGAGAAAAGATTTGGATTAGGTTTAGTCAAGCAATCAAGTATATACGTCAATTATTTCATGAAACAAGGTCACTATCTGTATCTAGCTAGTGTGGAATCTGATGAATTATTATTATTATTATTATTATTATTACTACTACTATTATTATTGAATCTGATGAATTATTATTATTATTACTACTACTATTATTATTATTATGGCCCTGCCTCTGTCCTTGCCATATGATGCTTGAAAATCTCAAGCTTCTACTTCTTCTGTAGCAGTCTTCAAGCAAAAAAAAAAAAAAATCTATAACAAAGTTCCTTCCTATTTTGCTGCAACAAATGCAAATCCTGAGGGTCCTGGAAGAGATCAGGCTGTGGAGTTCACATTTTCCAAGGACAGTGAGACCCCTCCCCTTTTTCTCTCAGAATCATTGTTTCTGCCAGTTCACATCTTAGGCAATCTTCTGCTTCTAGGTACATGTTCTTTCTTCTCCAGCTGGGGAATAAAACTTCTTGTGTTGAGACTAGTCATCTTTCTTCTCCATTTCCATTCATTTTCCTCTGTCGATTTCAGAGTTAGGACGTTCTTCCCGTTCTCTCATTTTATCTTTAAGTCAAATACTCACCCTCTTAGGCTCGAGCACCATCACTAAACTATTTATTCATTTTTAATGACTTGCTGTCAGAGGCTGGCTGAAGATGGAGATGTGGAGGCATCATTTAATAAGCTGTGGAAGGCAGTGGGAGGCAAAATTAATGCAAATGATTCCTAGTTCCCATTTCTGCCTCCTTCCAAACTAAAATGTGAGTGTTGTCTGGTCTAAATGTGCAATCAAGCTGTGCTACAGAGTCCACCAATCCACAACAAACATCACTATGACCATACCACTCCTCCTTCCATCGACTCTTTTGTCTGCTTGTACTTGCTCAGACTCTGAGGTCTCCAAGATTTGGGTCTCCAAGAATTTCCGCTAAGTCAAACAATTTGCCTAACATTGGTTGTCTCTGTTTAGAAATAGTTCTAATACATTCCACTTCCAATTCTGGGTACAATCAGCTTGTTATAAGAGTCTCTTCATACAGAGGTGGAGGACCTAAGGCACTAAAACATGGAGCAGGACTTAGTTCAGTGTTTGGAACAAGGCCGATTCCAGGTGTTGGACTTCCAGCCATTTCTGTCTCTGGGAAAAGAAAAGAGGGGGTATGAGTTACCATTCAGGGGAGTATACAGGCAGTCACAGAGCAGATGAGTCTGGCCTTTCTTGCGTCACTGGGGCAACAGAAATTTATTTGTGCCCGTGACAAAAACATTATAGCCACCTTTCTCAACACACTAATAGCCGAGTCACTATGAGGATGATCTGATAACACCAGCATGACCAACGCATCAGGGAACATTGACAGTGCAGCAGCTGAAACCAGAAAGAAACATTCTCTTGGGGACCACAAAACCGATTCCTCCAAATAGTCTTGCTGTTTTTGCTAAAGCTGATGGACTAATAGGAACCCCAAGTCTCACTAGGAACATTAGACTATTACTAAACTCCACTGTGTCATAGTTAGGTTCTCAAAATATGACAAATACAAACACTGCAGTATTTCCTTGGAAAAAGGAGTAAGCGTGTTGTGATAAGTGATGACAATCTTGCGCTTAAAATGCATGCAGAATAAAGACAAAGCATCCCAAATTGAAGAACTTTCAAGTTGATGTCCTTATGTCCAGATTATGTACAGCACAGTCATTAAAAAGCATTTGCTTTTCTAATGTGGTAACCTTGAAAGACCTTGAATGCTTTCCAGTGGCTCTTTCAGAAATCAGTATTTCCTTGAAGGACTATTTTTGAGTCACTGGAAAAAAAATCAATAGTAATATTTTATAACCTTCTCTTTTTGCATACTTATTCTTTCTATCCTGGATATTTATCTAACTCTGGATTACTTTGACATTTTTATCTACAAACATAAACTGAAATACAACATTCCACATATTTGCATATTGATTATGTCTGCTTTTGAATTATAAGGATGGGGTCATTAGTCCATCTAGAAACTGCAGGGGTTACAAAAATAAAATTATTTCCCTCTGTCCTCCAGCTGAAGAGGTTCAAGAACCTTTCTGAAAGGATTCAGAGTTGTTAGCTTCCAGAAGCTTGCGAAGAATATACTATACATATTTTACCAGTGGGTTCAGAGTACTAGTCATTAGCTCACTGCAAGAATCAGTCTTCCCATTATCAAATGGTACTTTATGTGTATTATTATCTTGTTGGTTCTCAGTTATTACCATTAAATGAGAAAGACAGAAGTGTATTGAATATATTTAAATTTACTTCTTGCTCCAGGATTTTTTTTTAGTATGATTTTTTTAAATTGAATATCCCACTCATATGCTATATATTTATTTAGCTCACTTTTCTCTTCTTCAGCAAAAGGATAATGATGGTGTCTATCTCGGTAAAAGCAACATCAACTGTCTGGAGATGGGGTGGAGTTTGATTGGCATGTGCAAGACCTAGGTTTAATCCCCAGGAAAGGATTTCATAGCAAAAGCAAATGTATGTATAATGTTCAAAATGAGCCAGGCATACATAGCATCAAATACTGTGCCGTGTTAGGAACATGTAGCAATTTAAATCTGTAACATTATTTTTATCAGTTCCACTTCAATGGTTATTTAATGATTTAAATCATCTTTATCATTATTAGATATGGCAAAAATCACTACATAAAAATTTAGCAAGGTAAAACCTTTTGAAGTACATAAGCTTGGACTGACGTCAGCTAAGCTGGGCTTCTCCATCAAATAGAGTTGCAGCTGATTTTACACAGTCCCCTTATCTCAGTAATTACCTCCATTCAGAAGTATGCAATGAACGGTAGCCATTTTCCTGGTAGACTGTTGCTAATGTAGTCAGCTCGAAGTTGGCAGTAGCTTAGCCCGATGCCTGGGAACATTTGGCCAGTGTCTTGACACATTTATTTTTTAGGCTAGGTTTAATTGATTTCTCCTGCTGACATCAAAATTGTGATCCTGGTGATCTGATCCTGACAACAGATCACTGTGATGGGGAAATATTATCTCTTTACTACAAATTTGCCTGTTACTTTTATGGCTGTTAAGAAAGCCATTGGTACTTTATCGGTAAATTAATTAAACCAATGATCTCTGAAAACTTGAAAACTGAAGATATACCTACTGCTATCTTTTTTGTTCCCAGAGCGTGTTTATATATAATTTTATGTGGCTTGGACTGGGTGGGGCAGGGGATTTATTATCTGTTTGTTTGCTTGTTCATTTATTTATAGGGCATGTACAGAGGCCAGTGGACAACTTGTGGAGGCCACTTCTCCCTCCCACCAGGTGGCTCTTGGGGACTGAACTTAAGTCATCAGATGTGGCAGCAAGTGCCTTTACCCAGGCAAGACATTTTGCTGCTCTTATGTTATGTTTACCTTATAACAAGTTAACTCTGTTTAAAAGCATTGAGAAAATTCTATGGCTTTCCTAGTAAACTGTGGTCTGAAGGACACACTTAGTTTTCAGCTTTGTAAAACCCACACATTGAGTTATTATAATTAGAATTCAGATTTCTTACATCACTGATAACAGTTCCAACAGATTTCACTTATATTAACATACTTTTTCTATATCTTTCATTTCTTACCCCTCTTTGCGAAGTGGGGAAGGAGGATGTCTCACTGCACAAGTTCCCTGGAGGCCTTTGAACTTACTATGTAGTCCAGGCTGCCGTGGAACCTGCAGTCCTCCTGCATAAGTCTCCTGAGTACTGGGATTACAGATAGGAATCTCTACGCTTGGTCATACTCCCATTTTCTCTCTCCTTCCTCACGTAGAGAATAGCTAAACAGCCTATGGCAGGCAAGGTTCTATCATAATACTAAGCATGTGGCTTCATCTGTGAACGCCTTTCTTTCAGCATCTTCAGAATATTGGAAACAATAGCAAAGTTTCAGAGAGCTGTTGGGAGGAGCAAGTAAGAGTGAAGGTATGTATTACACATGGGAAACACTGAATCATATGCCATTCACAGGTCTTTCCACAAACTGTGTGAATGAAGCCCATCTTCTTCCCTTCCTGATACCCCATATCTCTAACAGATCCTGTAATAAACGAATCCTGAGCCACCCATGGGGGACAGACTTGGACATGCCAAGGCTTGTTTCTAGTCTGGGTCCCTCCAGTCCTTTCTTTTATCAACTAAGAGCACTCACGTTTAATCAGGACTAGAAAACCAGAAGGTCTTTAAAAAAAATAGGAGAAAGAAAAAAATCGTGCATGAAACTGAAAACAGAAAAGATGGGGTTAGAGAGATTTCCAGCTGGAAGGCAGTTTACCTGGGCCATCAGCCCTGAGAGGCTAGGATAGATTGAGCATTCCAGGACAGACAGAGTCAGAGGTACTTATCAGGGACAAGTGTGACCCCACCACCCATGGAGTGAGGGCAGGAGGATGGCTGTAGGCATCACAGTTGACTGGTATTGTTCATGAAAGTGAGTACAAAGGGGGAGCTGTCTCTTATGCTGTCTTCTAATGAATGTCAGCTCACTTATATACCTTACCTGTCTTCCACTCCCTCCCAAACCTTCATTTTATTACCCTTCATATCACCAAATGTCGACTTTATTAAAATGGGCTTCTATTCAGCTATTCAGATTTATTGCCTTACTTTCCATGAGATCACACTTTACCCTTAGTTTTAGTGAATCATTTTTATTAATACATTTGTAAAAAAAAGCTTGACATTACTTTTCGAATACAAACTAAAGCACAATTAATCTAACAAACTAAGATTCTTCAATTTATTTTTCTATTTCTCTATTTTGACATCACTGCAAAATCTATTTCACTGTTTTAATGACCTTACTTTACTTAATAGAATATAGTAATAACTGATGGAGAGCCTTTGCCTGTCGTTGGTTAAAACTTCCAGAGATTTATTTTTTGGAAAAAGATGCCATCATTGGACCAGATGTTCCTGTGGTCTACGGTGTTTTACTGAGGTCCCAGGGAACTTTCTCAGATTTGATAGCTCATCAGATATCACTATAGTCTGTGCTGGCAACATCTTCTTTTAGTACACATTATATATACAGATACAGAGTCCTGCGACTACTTTTTTTCTCTTTAGTATTTCTAATCAAAGAGATTGGCAACTTGAATGTTGTGAGACAATGGTTTTGTACCCTGTCACTTGTATTGTTTTCATAAAAAATGCTGACTGTCCAGTAGCCAGGCAGGAAGTCAAGATGGAGCTAGAAACTACTGTCAACAAATGGTGCCAATGTGGAGAATCACATCTACATAAAATCTGACAGAGCTTGAGAAGTTATTCTAGACAAAAAAGAACAGAGCTAAGCATGACTTCTTGATAGCAGTATTTATTCAGGTGGGCTCCATTTGCAAGAGGCAAATGTCTTATTTAAGAGAGGCTGCCTGACTCAGCTTCAGCTTGCAGGCCTTTTAAAAGGCCCTGCCACAAAACACTTAAATGGTGTTTATGAATAGCCAACAGCATGTTTCTTGGTGGCAGGACCTTGAAACTCCACAGAGTTGTGGCAATAAGCATGACTCCCTCCATCCAGTACCTCCACCTTGAGGCTAGACTCTCAGAAAGAAAAAAAATTGAGTAATCTAGCTGTCAAAGTCATAGCTTTATAGCATTAATCCTAGACATATGGCTTAGGAAATTAAAGATTCATGTGGTCAGAAAAAAGAGAGATATACAGTAAAGATAGATTCAGATGGGAAAAAACCTCTAAATGGTTTACAGTGTGCTTAAAAATATGTGTAGGCTTTAGAAAGAAAGGAAAAAGGATAACGTTCTTTTAAAAAGAGAAGAAAGAAAGATAAGAGAGAGCATAGTTGGGTATGGTGGCACACACCTTTAATCCCAACACTTTAATCCCAAGGCAGAAGCAGGTGGATCTCTGTGAGTTCAAGAACAGCCTGGTATACAGTGTGAGTTCCAGGACAGCCAAAGATACACAGAGAAACCCTGTCAGAAAAAGACAAAAATTAAAAACAAAAAAATAGAATTTAAAATAAAGACACATAAAGATGGAAAATACACAGAGAATCTGGATACTGTATGTTATTATGTTGTCTTTAAAATGTTTTATGGCTGAGGAAGAAGCAAAAGCTGTTAAAAGACATTTGATT